TAGAAGCACAATCTGCTGGGTTTTTATCTGTTGTCACATGAAACCAATTATTTTTACCAACAAGCTTATCAATGAGACAAATACGATTTGCAATGAATTTTTTATAACGTTTTGGATTTCCATGCAACCAATCAATAACTATTTGAGAATCGGACCATAAAAATATTCCACTGAATTGAATTTTCAATGATTTCATCACTTTGTGTGTTAATTTGGCGAGTAAATTGGCTGCGCAAAGCTCTAACCTTGGAATGGTTAATTGATCTTTAGTGCCTTTTAATGGAGCTACTCTACTTTTGGCAATTAGTAATTGAACAGTGTTTTTTGAAACATTTTTAATATATATGACGGATGCAAAGGCGACTTTGGATGCGTCTGCAAAGCCATGAAGTTCAATTTTATCTTCTGGATCGTAATTAATCCATCTGGGCAATTGAATTTGACTTATGAGATGCAATTCATTTTTTGTTTTGAGCCATTTCGAAGAAATCTCATCTGAGACTACTTGGTCCCAATCTAATTTTTGCTTCCACATTTCTTGAATTAAAATTTTTGCAGAGATAACAATTGGACATATCCATCCGAATGGATCGAATAATGAAGCCATTTCTGCAATAATTTGACGTTTAGTGAATGGCTTATCGTGAATTTTAACTTTCAAATTGTATGAGAAAACGTCGGTTGAAGGAGACCATAATATGCCCAATGCTTTAACTGTTTCAGTGAGTGATTTTTTCTCTATGTCTGATTCTGGAATTTTTTCCATTAATTCTTTGCAATTAGTGCTCCATTTACGTAAATTGAAGCCGGCGTTTGAAAAAACTGATCTGAGATGATCATAAATTTTATTAATCTCGTTTATGGATGGCGCTCCATCTGCCACATCATCCATGTACATACTTTCCAAAATTATTTGAGCAGCTTGTGGAAATTCGTTCATATTGTCTAATGCCATTTGTTTTGTTGTGCGAGTTGCCAAAAAAGGAGCTATTGAAGTGCCATATGTGACAGTTTTTAGTTGATATTCAGAAATTGGCTGATCTGGTGACTCACGCCACAATATTTTTTGAAACTTACGATCATCTTCGTTAACTAAAATTTGTCGGTACATTTTTTCCACGTCTGCCGTAAAGGCATATTTAAATTTTCGAAAGTGAATTAAAATTGACAAAATATCATTCTGATGATTTGCACCAATTGCAAGTTGATCATTCAATGAAATACCATTGCTAGTGGCTTGTGACGCGTTAAAAACCACTCTCAATTTCGTAGTAGTACTCTCGTTACGAATCACCGCGTGGTGTGGCAGATAAAATGCATTTTCGTTTGGATCGTATGAGGAAAGTTCCATATGACCCATGTCTAAATATTCTTTCATGAATTTTTTGTATTCGGTTGTTTGATTGAAAACGTCTTTCCATAGAAAATAAAGTTGCCATTGCTTTTTTACGTGAATCGCCCAAAGTGGGTTCTTCTTGGTTTTTAAATGCCAATTTAACAACGTATCTGCCAGTGTCTGTGCGTGAAAAATGCTCAACGAAATGATTTTCGCAATAAGTTTCTTCTGTGCTTAGCTGACTTTCATCATTCAAATCGCGAATATCATCATGTGAGTTATTTGCTCTTCAATATCGACCGTAGATAGCAATGATGTGACTGAGCTAATTACTACATTGGATTTAATTGGACCCGAGATGATCCATCCAAGCTCAGTATTTTGAGCTATCGGTTCATTTGGCATTCCCTTAATGAGACCTGCCTTGATTATTTGCGAATATTCAGCTGCACCGAGTAAAATATCGATTTTGCCATTGTCAATGTATGACGGATCGGCTAAATTTAAGTTAATCAAATGTTCATATGTTTTTTCCTCATTTTCAATTTTAATATTATTGTTTGTAATGCGCTTTACGACTATCGCTTGAGTAGTTAAATTGAAATCGGATCTGAAGCGAGGTTGAATAGATATGTTTACGACGTGTTTTGAAATTTCATTTTCATTTGTAATCGTCTGCACGTTAAAACGTTTATTAATTCTGCGTAAATTCAATAATTGCGCTGCACTTTCCGTTATGAAAGAGCTTTGAGAGCCCTGATCGATCAATGCTTTAAGAATCAATTTTGCACCGTCGTGTGCGTTAATGCTAATCAGAGCTGTAGCTAATAAAACACCACATCCATTCATTACGCTGTTTACCGAAATTGGTGTTTCTTCTTCGATTTGTGTCATATTAACCTTAACAGTATTTTTTGATTCATCGTGTAGCAATGTATGATGTTTTTTCTTACAGATATTACATGTATACTTTGATTTGCAATCTGATACTTTATGTTTACCTAAACAATTGAAGCACAATTTATTAGCCTTGAGTCAAGGCCCTTGACATAATTAGATCGTTCATTTACGGTTTTTTCCACGAATTTCTGGCACTTTGAAAGAAGGTGGTCATGGTTGCATAGAATGCATTTCAAAAATGAATTTTTTTGTTTGAAGTCACTCGTTTCGTTTTCTTTTTTTGCGTAGCTCGGCATGTTTTGAATTGCCAAACACCTATTTTCCATGTATGACAGAAATTCGCGCAAAAAAATTGGTTCGCGTGGATCGTTTAATTGACACTTAAAATTAGTTAATGTTTTTCATTTAATTTTTTCATCATAATATGCGTAATAAAAACCTCACAAAACTCGTTGTCGGTTAACATTGTTTTGATTGATAGTAGCGATTCGTTGATAACGTCCAGCATGCGTCGTAATTCATCAGAGTTTTCGTTGCGTTGTTTCGGTAAAAAGAAAATGTTGTCCATTAATTTAGCCAAAATTTTCCTCTTGTTGTTGTAGCGTTTTTCAAGTAAATTATAACAATGCTCGTAATTGTCAGATGTAGTAGGAATATGCGCGACGATTTTCAATGCTTCTCCACGTAGACTTGTTTTTAAATACTGAATCTTCAAATTGTTGTCGATGTTGCGATTTTCATGTATTATTTTGTTAAACAGCTCTATGTATGAATTCCAATCTGTTTCTTTGCCGTTAAATGATGGAATATTGATTTTCGGCAAATTAAATGGGGCTATAGTAAGCTCGTTCGATTTTTGCATGTTATTGGTGTTATTTTTACTTATGGCTTTTGCATACTGAGTTTGCAATAATGACATGTTGATTTGTGCGCTTAGTATGTTGTTTTTGCCTCGAAGAATGAAATACTTTTCGCGAAATGAATTCCAATTCTCCTTCAGCATTTCGATTAAAGTTTGAGTCAAAAAGAAATCGTCGTGGTTTTTGATTGTCCGTAACTGCTCGAGAATGTCATTATACATAAGTTTGAGAGTTTGAGATTCGTTGTCATCTTCATTTTTCCCAGTAGATGATCCAGCCGCTTCGTTCGTTTGATTTTCAAATTCCAAAAGCGTTGAGCTAAGAAGTTGATCCAAATCGTCGTCATCATTTTTTTCATCGGTGTAATTGTTTTCGTCGTCATTAAGATCGGTTTGGTTGATTAAAGATGCATAATCTTTGTCCGTTAAATTTGCCAGTCCGGTTTCCAAATCTTTTTTCAGTTTTAAGTAGGCGTTTTTCGTTGTGCTGAATACGTTATCGGTGAAATATGGTTGTTTTTTCACTTCTTCGGGTGCTCCTATGAGCGAATCATTGCGCGCGTTGAATTGAATCCACAGATTCTCGAGTTTGGTTAGTTGATTGATGTAGTAATTTGGCGTTGACTTCACTTGTTTGTTTGCCTTGCCAAAATTGATGATGCGTTTTTGCAGCTCCGAAATTGCTGCCTTCTGCATTTCGATTAGCGTTTCCATTTTCAGTTGTCGATAGTTTTTTTAGATTTTCTCCCTTTAAGTAGAACTTTACTCGTTCACACGGTGTAAATTTGCGTAATTTCACTTTTTTGCTTGTTTTCAATTGTCTCGTAGCTTCCACTATTTTTTTGATTTTGTCAATGATAGGTATAGATTCGAATGGTTTAAATTCCATTGACTTCACAAAAATTCGGTTTTCAAAAGTTCGAAGGACCAAATGTTGTGTGCTCTGATTGAGGTGATCAAGCCCAATTAAGTACACATTGGAGTAATTGCAAAGACTGATTTATTATTTCATTTGACACGGTATTTATATGCTTAAGCTAGGAAGTTATAATGCTTTTACAAAATAATAATAATAACAAAATACTAACAAACTAATAATAATAAAATTGCAAGTATAACTCTTTCGTTAGATTACTAATAAATTAACACGAAATATAAACGGAAATTAGAAGTGCAAAGTAAGCCAAATTTTATGATTCATTGTTTCGATTACGGTCGGAACATAAAGACTAAAATTGGTCTTAATCGATGAAATAAGATCAATTTGAGCGTAAAAATGTGGAAAATAAACCAATTTTGGTTATTACCGAAAATCACATTTTTTTTCGATTTTTTTGAAATAGTTGTCTTGATTCTCGTTCAAGTCGCCACCCTATATCACATATAACTTCATCAAAAAATGGCTGTTTTGGAATCAGCTCATGCTTATACAACTACTCTGGGCTGTAGGCTTTGATACTTAAATTTTTTCGAAAAAGTCATCCACCCTATTACGAGCATACAACTTATCTGTAAAATTTGGTGTAAATGGTTTTGACGGTATTTGAACTGAGTCAACAAATAATGCCAGATAATTAAAGTTGAACGATTTGAAGTTAAACGGATTCAGTCCAAATGCTCCATTCAAACGATCATTTGTTACGAAGCCAATTATGCATCTATAAAATAATATGAAACGATAAGTTCACGTTTTTTTTAATTTTTTCTTTGTATAACATTTAAATTACCTTTTCGGCAATTGCCCAATAAATAATGAGCCAGCTGTTAACTGTCTTCTTTCACATGTCCAGCATTTATATTTCCATCATCATCTTCAACTATTCTATCCATAAAACCTGCTGTATCTTTGTACCACATCGAAGTTTGTAAATGTGTATTTTTAGCGTCAATTCCATAATTTAATAGGGATTCCAAATAGCTGCGATAACTATAATGTGATGATGGAGGACAAATGTTACGTTGGTTTAAAAACACATCAACTTGTGAGAACATAGAATGTAGAAAATTGTTGACAGGTGCGATATTCTGGTTTGGTTGTCCAATGTCCATTTATTCTTACAACTACATGAATCGCTGTATGCGCCAAATCTAAATACTCTTCACTAGAGGTTGGTATGATAAATTCGATCGGTGAGGTATCCGTTAAAGCTGAAACTGGACGATAGCATTGTATAGAACCGCCCTCAACGCTGTTTTGAGTTGGTGGAATAGCAAACAAATCCAATTCTGTTTTAACAGTTGGTGATTTGTGTGACGTAATGTATGCCATTGTTTATGTAAATATGTCTTCAATATTCTGTTTTGTTCTTCTTTTTACTTCCTTTTTAACGGTTTTTCCTTTTTTCTTAACGGTTTTTCTTTTTTTTAGTTTTACGTATCGTCACTTTTCCTTTCTTAACTTTTTGCGTCTTTTTTCTTTGAGTGCTGGGCTTCAACTGCTTACGCGCTTAAACTAACTGATTGGAATAACCGCTACCGAACATATGGTCCGATACTCTATTTGAAATGTTATCCTTTCCCCTTGTCTTTTGTGCTTCCTTCAAGTCGCCTGTTCTTCAAACATCACGAACAACTCTCGATCCACTTTTCAATAGCTCTTCACCTAATGCCATAGTTTCTTTTTTCACAATTGGTATTACTGCTCGAAAAACACCGCTTAAAAAAGACCCTATTTCGTAATATGATGAAATTCAAAGAATAATAAATTCCACATTAATTGATAATGAGTCAACAATTACCTATTCCTGCTCCGCGTTGAAAAGCAGGTGATGAATATATATTACTATAGCCAGAACCGGCTTGGGTCATGTAATATGATGTATAAGTCATTTTGAAATTTAGATTTTGTTTTGTCTTTGAAATGAAGTTTCACCATCACAATCCCGTGACAGAATGGAAAAAGTTGACCAGTAATGTCTCTTATATTTATTTCGATCGAATCGAAATCCTTCTTCAGCACTGGAACGTAATGAATTTTTTGGAAGTTTCGATGACAGGGTGTACCGAACTCATTTTTATGGTCTGTTGTGTTCACTATCTTGATTATTTGTGACGATTCATATCCGATTAATTGAGGCTCGATCAAGTCGCAATACAACATCATTTGCTCAGGAATTCCAAAACATATTGTACATTTCCAACATATTGTACATTTCCAACATATGGTGATATTTTGTATACTAACACATTTTCGTTCGGTGAAAAGCCAAGCTGTGTTGCTAGACGTCCGTTAAAATGAAATGATTGTACCTCGTTTACAGAATTG